ACATATTGTGGACAATAACCAAATTCTATCTAAACTCCTGTGATCAGCCAGCTGATGGCACTTCCAAGGCTCCTTCCTGATTTGGGTTGGCCCTTTAATTTTGCTCACTAGTCATCATTTAGATGTCCACCAACACACTAGATTGGAATGCATATGACCACCTCATTTACCAGCACCGTCACACACTTCTCACCCTGTGGGCATCCTAGTGGGTACCTGTAAGTTAAGGTACCCACCATCCACCCTTCAATCAAGTAACATGATGTGATGGTCACATGAATTGATCTTTGCATTGTTGAGCATGGTCAGTAGGACCTATGCATTCTTGTCAACCATGGCATATAGGAGGGTTTCACTTGACCAAGTTGTAGATTATATTGCATACTCATGATCACAAAAAGTAACTGGGAATTATTGTGTCACTGAATCAAAATAGGATTTTTTTCAAAACTGTTCTACTTCATGTTCAGTATGCTGTACAACTTCCATTTGCTTAAATTACAGCATCAACAATTGCTAGCATCTGGTCAATAAATTGGTTTATATCAGCACATGGGCTTTTGGACCAAATGTCCAAAACTGCATTGGGTAGTTGGTTGAGGTTTGTCAGGGGATGCTGTGCTCCTTCGGCACATAAGCATGCATATGACCCACTGTGCCTTGCTTGCTGACCTGTGCTTGCTCATCTGTCGATCACCCAGCCTCCTCCTCCTTTGATCCCCACCTCTATCTGTGCTGACGTCTGCCCTCTTCCTCCTTCTTCCAGCCATCTCCTTCAAATCCCTGCAAGCGGTCTAGCCAAGCCCAATTCCTTGCACCAGGGAGTGCTACTGCCGTATGCACTCCTCCCCCTCTACTTTGGCCTTCTCCCTGCAGATGTGGTCTACTGCCGTATAGGCTTGTACCAGATGCCCTTGCGCTCATCTGCACCACTGCTCTTCCCAGTTTGGTGTTGGTCCTTGCCTCTGACATCTCCACTGCTCTGGCCACTGGGCTCCTCCAGTGCAGCCTTCCACTGTTGGTGTCTCAGGAGCTGGCCATCACTGGCCCCTCTGAGCCACTCACTATCTTATCTGGGTGTGTCATAGTCTATTTGTCATCTGCCATTGTTCCATGGCAGTGATATCCCATCATCATCAGTCACTTGTCACAGCTGACTATATAGTGTGACACCTGGGCACATGGATCCTTGAACCGTTCTCTAAGGATCCCCCTCTGTGCTCAGGTGAGTAGTATACCTCCCTTGTATTTGATAGTCTCTAAGGATCCCCCTCTGTGCTCAGACTCATGTGAGGTTGTTGTGTGCTGTGTGCTCTCTTCCTTCGGGCTGGCAGGAGTTGCCCTTACAAGTGAATTCGAAGACTGGAGAATACAACCAAGTAGCTACAGTATTTATACCCAAGTCCCGTCTGAGTCATATCTACAACGAATGAGTCATAAGGCTATGTACCACATGGAGCACTGGTCATGGGTTGTAGTAGAACCTTCTGGAGCATATGTCGCGCAGCCTTGAATCAATAGAGATAACCCCTGGAACCCCTAGCCCGGACCGTCTGATACCATGATCCATGATAAGATAATCCGTGCCGAGATAAGATAAGATGGTCGATGATAAGGTGAAAAAGGGCTGAATTATGACAATTGTGGCCAATGTGCTTGAGTGCAAAGTCGAAGGTGTTCTACCAAAAACAAATCATCTAGAGTCATTCAATGGACTGTTAAAGCCCTCCGACATTGGCAGAAGGGTGGCCACAAGCTTTGAGTTGATGTTCTCTTGCATCTCCTCATCATGACCATCTTTCCCTCAATCTTCAAGCAATGTTGCATGTACAAGGACAAGGCAAGTCGGATTGCGGCCATGATTTGTCTACTCCCAGGTGGAGAGACACTTCTGTGTGAAAAGCCAAAGACCACAAAGCAGATCCTGCAAATTGCATTCTTGTTACCTAATGAGCGTCGCAATACAGAGGCAAGGGATATGGCTAGCGCTTGTCAACTCATCCTAGCAAGCAGACTTCCCAGTAATGTTGCCTGACACTCTCCACATACTCTTCCTGCACACTGCCATTGAAACCAATCCTATTGTGTACCACATGTGATTCGGTTTCAAAGGTCTCGCTTTGTGCACCTGTCCCAACTTCACTTTGCATGGTGGTGCATGCAAATAGCATTGATTGTTATCAAAGGGCAACGGGCAGCAGGAGAGGACATACCTGATATTCCCATCCCTCATTCGAGCAAAGACGCCTTCATGCTCCAGAGGCAATATGTCCTCACAGTTAAGATTCGACTCCCTACAGTGAAGGCAGCAGCACTTGCAGAGCATGCGGATGTGATGGAAGAGGACAACAGGAAGGGTGACAGTGATGAAAAAGAGGCATTTTCTGCCAAAACAACTACCCTGGAAAGTGATGAGGATGACAACAAGGAAGACAAAGATGAAGATGTTGCTTGCCTTCTCCCTACACAGAACACTGTTACCCTGGAAGATCAGGGAATGTCCCATGCACTCTACAAGCTGGTGGGCATGCAATCGCAGCTTTGCAATGTGGCAAACTGACTCGAAAAACAACAAACAGGTGTCAGCATCACTCAACAGAATGTACTAGATTCAATGCTTACCAAGTTTGAGAGGGTTACAAGTCAACTCAAACACCTGTGTGCTTTACCCCCCTCAATATCACATCTCCTGCCCCCCCCTCCCCCCAACTGCATACCCTGCCCCCTGCACCTGAATTGTTGTCAGGCCCAGGCCAGAAGTGCAAGTTTATGCCAATTTCCCCCAAGAAGCAGTCCACAAAGTGCCTCCAATCACACGGTGTCCATTAGCATTAGTTGGTCTTGCACCGAGAAGAATTACCATCAAGTAGTATGGACTTGAAATTGCAACGAGTTGTTTATCAATGAGGCCATGCAGCCATCATGGTCCATCAAATGGCTGAAGATGCTGTGTCATCCAAATCGGAAAGAGAGTGGGGGCAAGCTGACTTTCCTATATTCTTCAGTCTTGGAATTCTGATGTGAACTGTCAACACCAATCCATGTGTTAAGAATTCTGGTACCCATTGATATTGTTACTGATAGCATAACAGGCAATCAATCCATGGGATCAAACCCAGGGCCAAGCCAGGCTTTGTTGGCTTCCGGGACCTAAGGCTTTGGCTTAAATCTTGTAAAACCAAAGCACAGTGTTTGGAGGTTAAAGCCAGCAACTTGAAGCCAAGCATAGGCCAACAATTCACTCTGTGCAATAGGGTGCCATTTGCAAGTACTGGGCTGTTGGGCGGTAGACCAAGTCTCTTCACATGCAATCATGGCTGCACCATTGCATTAGATGCATGCTTGGGCTCTGCATAGTTAGTTGCTTGGATTCACACTTCTCTTACAATGCTGCCTTGACATGGGCTTAGGATGGACTTAGTAGATAAGTAGCTCCAACAGCCCTAGAGAAAGGACATGTCAGGTTTTGGTTTTGTTTTGAGATCATGTAACAATATAGACACTTCACTTGGGAAAAACGTCCACAATGTTGTCAAGCAGACAACCTCAAAGCTCACTCCTATGGAAATAGTGAGCAAATGGTTTCATTAGCAATCTACTCTACTTCAGAGCTCACATTGCTGTCTACCTACCAAGAACAATACAGATCCCAGAGTTGTCTTCTCAAGGAGGCAGTCAGTCAGACATATCAACCATTACTCTCCACCACACCTCCCAGGCAGACTATGCTTGGTTGTCGGGGGAAGCCCTGCTTTTGTTTGATCATTGTGGGATCTTGCATGTGACTGTGCACATGCCATCTGTCAAGCGTTACATGCTTTGGTCCGGACTTCCCTGCTGAGCACGTCCAGATGACCCTCCGGTCTGGACCCCCATTGTCCTGACAGCTCAGCTCCCATTGTTCTCCTGGTCCGGCCCCTTATTGCTCCCTGGCCCCATTGTCTGGCGCTTCCATTGTGCTTGGTCATCCATTGTTCTTTAGGCTATATATAGTGGGCCCTGACAAGGAGAGTCCCCAGCTCAGTTTCTCTTTGGACTCTCCCTTGTCCGGTTTGCCAGTCTCCTGTACTAGTTGATCCCTTTATCTGACACTTTGGACTCTCCCTTGTCAGGACTCTGAGATCGGGCCTTGAGGTTGCCCTTACATTGGTCTGTATCAGAAGTCAGAAGCACTACCTCAAAACCACCAGTGAGAACTCTTCCTCACCACATCAGCTTGTTAGAGGACAGCACCAAAAATGATCAGCATGCCCAAAGCCTATTTATTGCGAGCAAAGCAAGCAATCATCGGCTTGAGAGCATCCGATCAGCACTAAACAAGTAAAAATTCCTTGCACGTAGCTGATGGGACAAGCTGAATGCTCTCAAACTCATTCAGTTTTCCATATTTCTCTCTGAGACTTTGCAAACAGGTTTCAATACTATGCATCCTAAAGAACCTCAAGTCTCATCCAAAAATAAAGAATCGAGCCCAGTCCAACTGTGCACCGAGCACCAGCCTGTGCTCAGCAAATTATAATCCGTTTCCTCTGGGAGTTGCATGGTAAGATTCCGGGCATCGTATACATACAATCCTAGACTTTGAGAGGTTTTGCGCTCAGCACTCTGTCTGCCGCTGGTCCTGGCTGGAACTCCCAGCTGCCGTGTTGGCACCATTCGCTTACGTGGGATATTGTGATCAGTACAAATCTGGAGTACCGTAAAATTGTTTTTGCACGTAGATATCCCTAATAGATCTGAGTTTAGTGTGAAAATGTGACTATGTAGTCTTCGAAGCGAGCATCCAGCGCTCTTGCGCGATATTCACTTGTAGACATGGATACTCATAGAGCAGCAAGTATGTGAACCCCAATGATTTCACCAGCCTGAAAAGTCCCTTGTGAGGGATGCAAGTCACCCAATAAGTTGTTGCTTTGCCTGGTGGAGGCATTGACGTCCAGTAGCCATTGAGCGCTACCACACCACCTTGGTGCCAGGCACGGGGTTATGAAGTACCAGTAAAAAGATGTGTAACAAACACATGGCTAGGACACCTCTGATCATAGTGACACCAATGTATGCACCACATGCGACAGTCTAACTAAATTTGTGTTGCTACTTCTGCATCTAGACATCGTGCACACCAGCAAATTTCTCCTGATAAGCCTGTCGACCAACTGCAATAGCATCATACTCGGCCAGCTTGGCGCGCAGTTCGCCTTGCACTGTCACGAGTCAACGGCCCGGCTCAATAACAAGACACGGAACACTCACCAAGCGCAGTGCTCTGTTGCCCGGTCATGATGATATCTATCTGGTCGACGGACGTCTTGTTTACGAAGTCAGCTCGTGGCTTCCGGAGATCTTCCCACACCGCGAGCCGTGCTGGGATGTCCTCGCGCGTGGTGCCGAGGGGGAGCAGGCCCGCGAGGACACCCGCGTCTTCGATCGCCATGGCCGCGCCCTGAGCCAGGAACGGAAGCGTCGCATGAGCTGCGTCGCCGAGGAGCGCGGTACGACCTTTGCACCATGTCGGGATCGCAGGGAGCGTGCGCAACCGCCAGCGGAAGATCCGGCCGGTGTGATTCGGCAGGTCGAGCAGGCGGTGGAACTTGGGGTCGTAGTCGGTGAACTTGGCGCAGACCTCTTCTGGGGAGATCGAAGGGGTAGAGACTGGGTGCGAGACTGGAAGGTGAATGCGGAATCAGTCGACTAGCCAGGCCGGAAGAGGGGTTGGCACCCACGGTCTTTCTCCTCCTCCTCCGTTTCCTTGAAGAAGTGAGCCGAGTTGATGAGCTCTCCGTTCCTGCAGGGATAGCAGAGGATCATGCGGAACGGCATAACCTTTGAGGGGACGGCACGGATGCCCTCGATCCCCTCGGTGAACCACTCCAGACCTGGGAAGCTGCCGTCCTTCGGGGGTGCCTTAAATACCGACCGACAGCAAGCGATCCCGGTCGGCGTGGCTTCTTGGACATATCCGAGCACATGTTTACGGACGAGAGACTGCAGTTGTTTAGTCGGGAAACGCGATTCGTTCACAGACGACACACCTGGATGCCATCTGCCCCGATAACCAGGTCTGCGTGCACCGTCTCGCCAGACTCGAGCACTACATCGCCTTCCTCCGGCGAACAAGACAGGACTTTGCATCCGAAACGCAACGACACAGGCGGCAGGCCACCTGTCGATTCGAGCGCGATGCGCTTCAGTTCGTCGTAAATGTCGGTCCGATGACACACGAGCAACCACTGCGCGTTTCTCGGATAAGTCAGCTCGGAGTGAAAAGATGGTGAGACTTGCCTCGTCTTCTCCGCGCCGCCCCGCACTCGGCGCGAATTTCATTTCATGTCCTTCCCCCGTCACATGGTCGAAACCCACGATCTACGCGCATAAGTGTCCCATCTTCGCGCCCACGAAGTATCGACGCACCCCGCGAAGGAAGACCCCCTTCAAGTTCTCCTCCTGCACGCCGAGCTGCTTCAGCACACGCATCGCGTTGGGCTGCAGCCCCAGCGCCGCGCCGACCTCCGTCTTGTTCGCCGTTCGCTCAAAAACCTGCACGATGTGCCCGATCTGCCGCAGGGCCACGGCCGCTGCGAGGCCGCCCAACCCGGCGCCAACGATCGTAATGCGGAGAGGAGTAGCAGTAGTAGTGTTTGAGGGCATTGTGCGGCTTCAGAGTGATGATTGCGGTCCATTGGGCCCCGCGTTTATACTCCCCATTGTAAGACAGGGATTGTGCCACTGGGCCGTTTACCCTGCCGAGTAACGAGTGCTTATGCTCGGCGCGTGAGTGGATTCTTATTTGACGTTCGCGGCCGGTCGACGGATGGTCTGTGTCAAAACTCCGGCACGAGTCTCGGATCGATGGATTTCCGGCGATGGGTTAGCGTTGAAGAGAACCGCACATATGCGCGACGATGGGTGTCGCTGCTGAGTGGTCCATTGCGATGTCAGTGCATGAAGTACTGAGCACTAAAGAGATTCCAGTCGCGAGGTTGCTGGATGGGTTTGACCGCAAACCTGGATGACAAAGAGCGTGATGGGATCTGTTTCAAAGTGACGATATAAGGATAAACAAGCGAGTGCTGCGCTCAGTGCGCTGAGACGGATGAACGACTAGCTGTTCGAAAATCAAAGCTAGTCGCTGGCTGCGTGCATCGCACTCGGCATCGTGCAGGACATGTCCACGTGGATCGAGCAGATCGGCGGTAGATCGCTCGTTCATCTACCAGAGGTGCTAGCGGCTAGCGTCGGAGAGACAACAAAGAGGGTGCTAACGCGACTTCTTTGATTTCGAATCGCATTCCAAGAATATTCCTGATATTCTTTCGTTCCTCCCCCAAGTAATGAAGTAGCCATCCTCTGTTTCATCAGAGCAATCTCAATCCGTTTGATAGATGCTGGGATGTCCCAACAGCATGTGCTTTGCACTCAATCAAAGAGCATTCCTACAGGGATTGGCGGAACGTTCAGAAGAGAAGTTGTACAGAAAACAAAACTGTGCCCATGATGAGTCTGTGGATCACGAGGGTCCCATGTACGCAGCAATCTGCCAGCTTCGACGGTTGAACAGAGCCCAAAGCTCGCGTATTTATCCTTATCTTGTACCAAGTCACAGATTCTGACACGATGCATCTCTTTCTAGCAGTGACTTGTAACTGTTCGACAGAATCTTGCTCCACCACTGAGATGCAATTTCGTTCATCCATTCAATCCGTTGGTCGGTAATGTCCCCAAATCATATACTGAATCAACCAAAGACGATGGCATACTAGGCTGCCCAGGTCCAGTAATCCCCGGGGTACCCACATCGTCGAGAATTACTTGAATCGATCCCGTGGGCTGCGATGTTGCCACGGACCATTTTTCGCCCGACCGCCAATGTCAAACAAAAATACGCACGGGCGCCGGGCGTAAGCACTGTTTACTCTGCTGGGTAAACGGCTGCTGTGAAATTACTCCACGATACTGGGTATAACGCTCGAGCCCCCCAGAGCAGCGAGCATCGCCCTCTATGCCTTCACACTCTGCGACTGGTGCGACTCCTCTCCGAATCACGATCGTGGGCGCCGGGCTCGGTGGCCTCGCTGCTGCCGTGGCCCTGCGGCAGATCGGGCACATCGTGCAGGTGTTCGAGCGGTCGGAGAACAAGACCGAGGTCGGCGCGGGACTGGGGCTGCAGCCCAACGCAATGCGCGTGCTGAGGCATCTCGGCGTCCAGCAGGAGAACTTGAAAGGCGTGTACATCCAGGGAGTGAGTCGCTTCTCCGGGCGCACGAAGGAAGCGTAGGATATTGATTGAGCGTCCTAGCTGGTTGGTTTCGATAATGTTACTGGAGAGGGAAACGAGACTGAGCTTGCGCCAAACGCGGAGCGTGTAGAAGACGAGGCGAGTCTCTCTCTCCTCTATCAACACCAGGGCGCTGATGATGCGGCAAACGTGCAGTGGTTGCTAGCGTGCCACAGGACCGACATATACGAAGAATTCAAGCGCATCGCGCTCGAGCCGAAAGGCGATGTTCCCCCGGTGTCACTGCGCTTCGGCTGCAAGATCGTATCCTGCTCGCCGGAAGAGGGCGACGTGGTACTTGAGTCTGGCGAGACAGTGCATGCGGACCTTGTCATCGGAGCAGATGGGATTCAGGTGCGCCATCCGTCAAGGATATATGTCTCCCAGATAACGCCCAGCTAACGGATCACAGTCGCTCATCCGGACGCATGTGCTAGGCTATGTCCAAGAAGCCAACCCCACCGGGATCGCTTGCTGCCGCACGGTGTTCAAGGCACCCCCGAAGGACGACAGCTTCTCGGGTCTGGAGTGGTTCACCGAGGGCATCGTGGGCGTCCGTGCCGTCTACTCGAAGGGCCTCCCTTTCAGGTTGATCCTTTGCTATCCGTGCAGAAATGCAGAGCTCATCAACTCGGCCCACCTCTATTCGGAGACAGAGGACGAGAAGAATGACGGTGGGTGGTGACGAGTACTCCCGATTGACCCGGCGACTGATTGTGCATCTGCGCTTCAGCCTCGCACCCGGTCTCGACTCCGACGATCAGCCCAGCAGAGGTGCGCGCCAAGTTCGCCGACTATGATCCCAAGTTCCACCGCCTTCTCGACCTGCCGAACCACACCGGCCGGATCTATCGCTGGCGGCTGCGCACGGTGCCCGCGCTACCGACGTGGTACAAAGGGCGCACCGCGATCCTCGGCGACGCAGCTCACGCGACGCTCCCCTTCCTAGCCCAGGGCGCGGCCATGGCGATCGAAGACGCGGGAGTCCTCGCGAGCCTGCTGCCTCTCGGCACTACGCGCGAAGACATCCCTGCGCGGCTGGCGGTGTGGCAGGACATCCGCAAACCGCGGGCGGACTACGTCAACAAGACGTCCGTGGATCAGGTGGATGCTATCCTGGCGGGGCAGCATAGGCACGTGCACGGTGAGTGTGTTTCGTGGCGGGTCCGCGATCGAGGTTGTTGACTCGTGAAAGTCCGGGGTGTTACGCATAACCAGTTGGCCGGATACGATGCAATTGCGGCTGGTCGACAGGCCTATCAGGACAAGTTTGCTGGCGGGGAGGCTGCCTAGATCTGAAGGTAGATTGCGAATGTTCATTTTGCCTTCTAGTTTAATGCATGCTCCGCATTCATGATTGGTGCCACTTCCCTCTGTTCCAACGAGGCTCAAAGCATCACGTTCTCGTCCTCCGTGGTAAGTCAATGAGGATTGTTGGGGGCTCATTGAAAGTGCCGCGGAGTGCCGCAGGAGCAATCCTGCGGCACTCCTGCGGCACTCCAAATTCTCCACATGATTGATCTCAACGGCAACGATGACGATCAACATGCTGTCCACGTCGGCTGAGACGTTGATGGACGTGGGAATGATCCGCGCAGGCAGCGGGACTATTCCAGACGTCATTGTCGTTGGCGGCAGCGATGGAGATCTCACCCCTGCGGCACTCCAGAACAGTGTGCCGCAGACTCCACAGCACACCGCGGCACTCCTGCGGGGCCTCTGGCGACACTCCAAACAAGTCTGCGGCACTCCAGAAGAGTCTGCGGCGCTCCAGTGTGACGCATGTGACATCTCTGCGGCACTCCAAAGCACAGCCACCCTCTGGAGACCGCCGCAAGCACATCCAACGCTGTCTGCGCTGGTCAATCCCTGATATTTTGAGATGGATTAGTTGTATTTCAATAGAATTGGATATCTAGACGTCCTCACTTTCATGTAGCCCGATTGTTGGTACATTCTGAATCGTACTTGGCCGTGCTTGTGGGCTGAGTGTCAGCGCCTGACCCTAACCCCTACCGATTTTTCCCCACGTGCAAGGCAGGAGGTTCTCTTCATCACCTGCCTCGTGCGCAGCATAGCAACTTAGTCATGTAAACATCTTCTACTAATGTTATCCTCTAAGCAGTTACATATTATGTGGCTCCCGATGGCAGAATTGTGCGATGGACTCAGACGGGAGGGCTCGGGGGACGTCGGGTTCCGATGGGTCATGGAACAAGAATCACTTTCCGATGCTTGGATACGGGCACACGGCACGGCAGAATTGATGGGCTCCCGGAAGCAAGATGCTATGTCATCATTCACTCCGCCAGGTCGCAGCGGAGAAACTCTAAAATGAGCCTCAGAACTCCATTTTCAGCTCAAGACCAGGAAGGTCACTGTTGGGTTGTGACAATCTAGAAGAGTGCTTCGCATATTTCTTTGGAGGCAGTTTTGCCACTGCACACACCAGAGCCTTACTGGGGCCCGAAGCTAAGATCGTTCTGTAGTATACTGACGGGGCCAACGCGCTCCCTGACCAAGTCAGCGACTACGACTTTGCCGGGTCGTACGGGAGATTTTACCCGGACGAGCCGAGACGTGCGGGATGGGTCGATGGAGGACATTTTCGGTGATGTGCGCCATCACAATTAAGATAGTCGAGGCACTGGAGATATACGACCACGAGCATGGATGGCTGGTTCCTGACGCAAGAAGGCTACAAGTAAGTTTTCCTCCTACTTTTTATGATTATTCAGATTTCATTCCAGCTCGTTGACAGACTCACTGAGCCAAGGAATCCCCCTCATTTTCTGGCCTGTCGGAGCGCAACAAGCCGTCAACGCGACCATGCTCTCAACAGGGCCGCTTCCGATCGGCATGGAGCTCTGGCAGTTGGGTGTTCGGACTAAGCGAGTCTGTTCTTCAGCTCCATAGTCGACTGTTGCAGATCCGGACCTGGGTGCAACTGGCTGATGCACCTAGCAAGATCAAAGACACGGCCGATGACGCGAGAATCGAATTCGAGCGGACTTTTATGGCTTACAAGGACGCAAGAGGGGAATGGCTCAGGCATAACGCGATCCGCGTTGCTGATTTGTGGAGCAGAGACTTGACGGGGAGCCTGGGCCACTGCCTTTCTGAAAATACCATCTCCAAGCTGCAGCCCTTCATGATATATTCCGCCCGCAAATATCTTACCGAGTCCTGATAACACAGTTTGAATTGACTCCAGGCCAGTCGGAGCAGGTCTCGGATGCTCACCCTTTTGGTGCTTCGAGCCGAGGGCAGCTGGTCTCGAACTCGAGTAGCAGGTCACACGTCGATAATACCAGGCCGGGACTTGAAATGTCCTTCTCCATATACACAGCGACGTGAACAGCATTCTCAATTCTCTCTTGCATCGCTCCCGCCCGTACAGTATCCGGTGGGAGGACCAGCTGACGCGGTATGCGACATGGATTTAGCAGTGCATGGATTCAAGGTTATCACGCGTGCACCCGCGCTTGGAATATCATAGAGCATCAAGTTCCGAAGCAGGGATCAATACACCCCAGGGACCTCCAATTATTATGTAAAATGGCTTCGAGGCCCCCTCCGGAGGCCATCAAACCACCCCCTACCCCCCCTGATCGGAGGCCATCCTGGAGGCGCCTTCCTAATTGGGACGCTGCCTGGCCATTTGTCCACTGCTTGCATGGTATGCTAGGGATCGGCCTGAGTGCTGATATATGCTGTAGTAGTCATTATAAAGCCTCAGACAATGTCTTACCTCTCAAAAGCATGTATTTCTTGCTTGCAAATGGCAGACCACTGGGTGTACAAAATTTGGGACCTGAGTACGTGAGCACTCCTCAGGTGCATAGAGCAACAGTGTATGTATTAATTCGAGATTGAGCATGAGGTAGCTGTGCCCACATGCAAAAATGAGATGTTGCTGAAGGGATGGTTTATGGCCTCCATGACCTCCCAGGTGCAGAAAAAAAGGTGTTGGGTAGCCCACAGGCCCTTGAATTCCGCTTCAATAGAACAATTTGATGCTTATGCTTTGTCAAAACAACAGCTTAGCATATAAATTGGATGTTGGAGCAGTGGCAGAACAAGCCTCCACCGCCTCCAGGGCTGGGGATCAAAAGCGGTTACTGTAGATTCAGCCACACAAACTGTGTTCATGACATTATTTATCTTCATTGAGATGCACAGGATCCTTTAGAGCGATAGCTCAACATGTGAATTGGATGCTAGAGCAGATTACAGAAAAGCTCTCCACAGCCTCCACAGCCGGGGACTAGAAGCAGTTTCTTTGGATTTAGCGGCAGAAACTATTGTTGACGCGTGACGCGGGTGGCACTTATTGATGGGAGTTCAGCGATCTTACGTTTTGGTCTGTTTGTTTTTCCCGATCGCCTATACAGTGGCTCTCGATCGTTTTCCGTCCCTCAGTCTTACCACATCTTGTGTGCGACTGAGGGTACGTGATTATTATTCTAACTACTACATTTACTTACTGTACCATGTAGGCTTACTATATTTCTACGTCTACAGGTACAATAAAAGAGTCTTACCACATCTTGTGTGCGACTGAGGGCTTACTATATTTCTACGTCTACAACTATGTGTTCAATGTCAGGTGTCTTATTTGAATGCCAAGGGTCCTCTATGGAGACAGCTCAGCATATGAATCAGATGCTGGAGCAAATGGCAGAACTGGCCTCCACCGCCTCCACAGGTTATTACTTGAAGAGTTGGGATGAGATGACAATGTAACAGACAGATATTCTCCTGGCTGACCACATTCTGTCATTTCCACCTCTAAATGCAAGTTGAATTGCTGCAGAATGTTAAAATGAGAGAATGGGGGACCCTGGAGGCGCTGGAGGCACATGCAAGATCCAATCAATATCATCAATGCCATCAATAGCATCAATAGCATCACCAATCATTGGTAGATTGATCAGCCAATCAGATGATGAATAAACATCGAACATCTAGTATATTCATTCCTGAGAGACACAGACCATATGTATGCTCATACTGAAAGTGGATTAGTGGTCCCAGGACATGCCCCAATGACATATTACATCCTTGTCTCAAGAACATATCATTGAAATTCGGATTTGGCAAATGAGCTGAAAGTCAACTGAAGATGAGTGGTACAGTGGAGTACTTTCAGCTCATTTGCCAAATCCGAATTTCAATGATATGTTCTTGAGACAAGGATGTAATATGTCATTGGGGCATGTCCTGGGACCACTAATCCACTTTCAGTATGAGCATACATATGGTCTGTGTCTCTCAGGAATGAATATACTAGATGTTCGATGTTTATTCATCATCTGATTGGCTGATCAATCTACCAATGATTGGTGATGCTATTGATGCTATTGATGGCATTGATGATATTGATTGGATCTTGCATGTGCCTCCAGCGCCTCCAGGGTCCCCCATTCTCTCATTTTAACATTCTGCAGCAATTCAACTTGCATTTAGAGGTGGAAATGACAGAATGTGGTCAGCCAGGAGAATATCTGTCTGTTACATTGTCATCTCATCCCAACTCTTCAAGTAATAACCTGTGGAGGCGGTGGAGGCCAGTTCTGCCATTTGCTCCAGCATCTGATTCATATGCTGAGCTGTCTCCATAGAGGACCCTTGGCATTCAAATAAGACACCTGACATTGAACACATAGTTGTAGACGTAGAAATATAGTAAGCCCTCAGTCGCACACAAGATGTGGTAAGACTCTTTTATTGTACCTGTAGACGTAGAAATATAGTAAGCCTACATGGTACAGTAAGTAAATGTAGTAGTTAGAATAATAATCACGTACCCTCAGTCGCACACAAGATGTGGTAAGACTGAGGGACGGAAAACGATCGAGAGCCACTGTATAGGCGATCGGGAAAAACAAACAGACCAAAACGTAAGATCGCTGAACTCCCATCAATAAGCGCCACCCGCGTCACGCGTCAACACTCCCCCTGGAGTTCAGTTCTCCTCCAGTCGAGACCCAATGCATGGCATATCCGCTCATGATCCACCCTTCCAAGCGACTTCGTCATGATATCGGCCACGTTCTCCTTCCCCGGCACGGATGTAACCGCGATCTCCCCCTTGCTGACGCGATCGCGGATGTAGTGATACCGAATGTCGATGTGTTTTGCCAAGCCATGCCCTTTTGTGGTCTCCGTGAGACTGATCGATCCCAGGTTATCGCCTCGGAGACTGAACGGAAGTTCCTGCGGTAAGAAGACCTCGGCCAGCCAGTTTTTCATCCAAGTCGCTTGCTGCGAGGCACGAGCGAGAGAAATGTATTCGGCCTCGGTGGACGACAGTGCGACGACCGCCTGCCGTTTCGATGACCATGCGACCGGGGCTCCGCCCATGAAGAATATGTAACCGGTGGTTGATCTCCGAGTATCCACGCAGCCGGCCCAGTCCGAATCCACGTAACCGACCGGCTTGAGGTCTCCGCCTGGGCTTTGACTATTTGGCGAGTACTTGACCCCGTAATCGAGCGTCCCTTTGATGTAACGAAGCACGCCAACGAGGACTTGCCAGTGTTCAGGTCCGGGATTTGCTTGGACGTGTCCCAACGCGCAGCATGCGTAGGCAAGGTCGGGACGCGTACCGCTGCTGCCCCAGACGATCGACCCGAGGATCTGCCGAAACGGTTTGTCTTGCATGAACTCAGCGTCCTCTATTGGTAGGGGGTTCGGGGATGCGCGGACTTGATAGCCAGGGGGAAGCAGGGTTGACAGCGGAGGCAAATTAGCGAATCCAAAGTGATCGAGCACCTTTTCAAAATATTGTCTCTGACTCAGCGCAATGTCCCCGTTCGACAGTTTTTCCACTGTCAGGCCCAGCAGTAGGTTGAGGTCGACCTCCTTCAAATCCCACTTCGCCGCGAATTCCTCCACCACGTGTGAACTTTCCTGATCGCTCGAGGATGCTCCGATCACGTCGTCCGTGTGGGTGCTCGTTATGGTGTATTTTCCGCCGAGGTTTCGAGTCCGTACGCATGGGTCTGCCGCGTTTTCGTGGTATCCCAACTCCCCGTACCCAGTGCTCAAGGTCTTGTACCAGATGTGCCCCGCCTGAACCAGCCCATAGAGCGGTCGCAAGAGAAGACACACCTTGGTTTCCTCCCCCTTCTCTTCGAATCCGCGCGGCTGTTTCATGTATACGGCCCGATCCATTGTCCCATTTAGGTACGCCCCAGAGAAATCCCACTGTCGCACGTGCAGACCCTTCACAGAAGCCACCGCAAATACCATCCGCACTGACTCCATCCTGGCTACCATCGCCCACTTCGTTCCAAAGTCTCGGCCCTCCACCATCTGGTCCCCTCTCGCCACCCATCTTGCCTTCCGTTTCACGACTTCTCCTGCACCGTCCATCTTCAAATCGAACACCCACATTCCATCTAGCGCCCTCTCTCCTTCCGGTAGGTCCACCAACGTCCACACCTTCTTTTCTTTCATCTGATCCATTTCTGCCCTCATTGCAGGACCCCATGTCTCCGGCTCCCTCATTGCCTCTGTTCCACTCCGCGGCAACCTTCCTTTTGTCGCACTTGCCAGTACCATCGCTTCATTCACCGCTTCCTCGAAGTCGTTGTCACTCAGATCCACCCAGTTCGCAGCTGGTCTCTCTGAGTCCCGCGCCCAGTCTTCGCGGGCTACCCTCGCCTCTTCTTCTGCTCGTTGGGCGACTTGGCTTTCTAACATCCTTCGGCTCGGTTTGGGTACTCGTGCGCTCCTTCGTGGAATTGCCAGCGTCTTGTTTGCCCCCTCGACTGGTGCCTGTCCTTCATTCTCGGCACGTTGGTCGTTTGCCTTCTCGACTGCGGTTTGTTCGGGATTCGGTTCGTCATCGTCTTCTTCTTTTTCTTCGTCCTCTGACCTCAACACGTTTTCTGGGTCATCCGACGGTCGGGCGCCTTCGGTTCGATGAGGTTCTCCCTCCTCGAAGATGACGTTTCGGACTTCGTAAACCTTCCTGCGTCTTGGGTCGTATATCCGGTATCCACGTCTGCCCATGTATCCGACCATTCGGCCTTCCCATCCCTGGGCGCCTAGCTTGCCCTCAAGGTTGTCGAGGTCTTTCACCCAGCATTTGCTCCCCCACACCCAAAGGTGCGATACATTTGGTCGGATATCTGCACCGTGCTGATCTTTCTTTCCAGACCACCGCACCCATGGGACCGATTTTGGGTGACGCGCCAACGGAATGAAACTTCGGATGTAGCAATGGGCTGCCGTTGCCTCGGCCCAGAATCGTGGGTCCAGTCCGGACTCGATCAGCTGAGTCCGCACACCTGCAATCACGGTACGGTTGCCACGTTCTGCATGCCCATGTGCTGATGATGATGCCTTTGGGACGCGCTCAATTACGATTCCTTGATCTCGGCAGAACCCTGTGAACAGGTCGTTGTCGAATTCGCTTCCAAGGTCGACCCGTACGATCTTCAATCTTCGATCTGTTTGGACCTTGGCCTCGGTAAGCCACGTCGCAAATGCCTTCAGAACCGTTTCCTGACATTTGTCGGATAGGAACAATGGGAACTTCATGCTCGTGCCCCCGTCTGACACAAGCATCAAGTATACGGCGTGGTTCCAGCTTGGTGTTCTTGCCCGCCCCCACAGGTCTAAGTGCACCCTTTCGAGCGGTTCTGTTTCGTGGACCACTTCATCATCAAACGGTGTCCGATCATGCTTCCCCAGAATACAGTCGTGGCACATTCCTTTTACCGCTGTCTCTGTGATGTCGAGACCCTCGACACACTTCCCTGCCCGTAGTGCTTTGATCGCTCGAATGTCGGCATGTCCCATCCGTCGATGCCAATTCTCGAGGGTTGGCGGTTGGCGTCAGTCTCTCCCGGCAATGGCGACAGTAATCTCGCTAGCTCTCCCACCGTCAATCACATTAACGCTGTACAGGTGACGTCCGCTTTCCCGTCGTGATGCGATTCTGCCACTGATGATCACCACTCCCTCGCGATTCACCACAGTCAGCACCCCATTTCCCCAGGATCCCCGGAATCCCCGGCTGTCCAACATGGCGATGGAGATGAGGTTCATCCGGAAGTCAGGTGTGTGGATGGCTGGAAATCGAATACGTCGATCTTCTCCGTTCTCCAGTCGAATCGACATTTCGACGTCCCCTCGACCACTGATCCTGAATCGTCCTCCGGACTTGACCACCGTTTGGCCCTCGAGACCAGTCACCTCTCGGTATGTCACGAAACGCGACCTCTCCACGATGCAATGCTCTGACGCTCCCGAGTCGAGGAATGTTGGGATGATATTGTTGTACTGACTGACGGACGATGCACTGTATGCTACAGCCTCCTTCTCACATCCGACTTCCCCATTCAGAACGGTAGGATTTGTCCTTCCATATCCCATTCTGAATGGTTGGTCAGATGTGTTGGGTGGGTCTGCTGATCGCTGTGACATACCGTCGTCCATCGCCGTGGCCAGAACGTACGTCGTCATTGGGTTGGTGAACGCCGCAGTTGGATGTTGCTGTTGTGGGTGCGCGTTCGACTGCATATTTGCAAGTTGATGCTGATTCTGCCCTCGTCGGGCTTCCTTAGCTTGGCGGTGGGCCGCGACAAGTTCCGGGCTGGGCTCTTTCCCACGAGGTGCCTTCCACCAACCAGGTGCGTGTCCCTCTTTTCCTCCCCCTTTTGCCCAACATCCTCTCTGATCATGACCTTGCACTCCACAGTTCTCGCATCCTCTGGTGTTGTATCCAACGGCAAGTGCATTGGCAGGAGTTCCGGTAGCGTCCTCTTCCACACGTTTCTTCCACACTAAGTCCCACCATTCACGTAGGTGCTGCACCAAGTGGGCTACGACGGAATGCACTTGGAGCGAAATCAGAGCAGTTCCAAACTCCTCTTTGGGCAACGACGTCAGGATGATAGTGCACATCATGGGGTCCGGGACGCTCCCCCCGATGTCGTGGACTTCAGCACGTCGCTTGATCAATTCGTCGATGTGGGACATCAGGTAACGAGGGTCCTTCAGGTTCAGAGTGCGCAGCCGTTCCATTTTCAATCCGACGAGGAGCTCCGTGCTCCGATTGAACTTGTGGGCCAACGTTGTCCAGATCACCGCTGCTGAGTCCGTCCCCTTCAAATCGTGCAACCGTGGATCTTTGATGTTCTGGAATAGCATTGCGGCCACCCATCCGTCACGCAGGGTGTATTCGTCTGGCGATGGCATCGTGGAGTTGAGCGGGGTATGACCGAGGTTGTTGGCCACGAATCCTGCGGGAAGGATTACCGTATCGAAGAGGTATCCTTCCAGTCCTCGCCCTCGAGCCATGCTGACCATCACTTCTTTGAAGTTCGGCCAGTTGGAGCCATCCGTGGCAAGCTTCTGTTCGTCTGGAAGGATCGGGGTCGATGGTAGATTGGTGGTCATTTGGGAGACGATGGATTTTTCCGAGCCTGCGAGCTCTCTTGTATTTGTGCTTCTGATTATTGGACTGCCTTGTATCTAGCGTCTGACTGCGAATCTGTAGACATAGAAATATAGTAAGCCCTCAGTCGCACACAAGATGTGGTAAGACTCTTTTATTGTACCTGTAGACGTAGAAATATAGTAAGCCTACATGGTACAGTAAGTAAATGTAGTAGTTAGAATAATAATCACGTACCCTCAGTCGCACACAAGATGTGGTAAGACTGAGGGACGGAAAACGATCGAGAGCCACTGTATAGGCGATCGGGAAAAACAAACAGACCAAAACGTAAGATCGCTGAACTCCCATCAATAAGTGCCACCCGCGTCACGCGTCAACAATAGTTTCTGCCGCTAAATCCAAAGAAACTGCTTCTAGTCCCCGGCTGTGGAGGCTGTGGAGAGCTTTTCTGTAATCTGCTCTAGCATCCAATTCACATGTTGAGCTATCGCTCTAAAGGATCCTGTGCATCTCAATGAAGATAAATAATGTCATGAACACAGTTTGTGTGGCTGAATCTACAGTAACCGCTTTTGATCCCCAGCCCTGGAGGCGGTGGAGGCTTGTTCTGCCACTGCTCCAACATCCAATTTATATGCTAAGCTGTTGTTTTGACAAAGCATAAGCATCAAATTGTTCTATTGAAGCGGAATTCAAGGGCCTGTGGGCTACCCAACACCTTTTTTTCTGCACCTGGGAGGTCATGGAGGCCATAAACCATCCCTTCAGCAACATCTCATTTTTGCATGTGGGCACAGCTACCTCATGCTCAATCTCGAATTAATACATACACTGTTGCTCTATGCACCTGAGGAGTGCTCACGTACTCAGGTCCCAAATTTTGTACACCCAGTGGTCTGCCATTTGCAAGCAAGAAATACATGCTTTTGAGAGGTAAGACATTGTCTGAGGCTTTATAATGACTACTACAGCATATATCAGCACTCAGGCCGATCCCTAGCATACCATGCAAGCAGTGGACAAATGGCCAGGCAGCGTCCCAATTAGGAAGGCGCCTCCAGGATGGCCTCCGATCAGGGGGGGTAGGGGGTGGTTTGATGGCCTCCGGAGGGGGCCTCGAAGCCATTTTACATAATAATTGGAGGTCCCTGGGGTGGATCAATAGATTGTGTGATGCGACGAAGCCCGAGAGGCACTCGCACAAATGAGAGTCTTAGTACACTGAATTGACCGGCTCGATGCCGATTTTCCGATTCGGTGCGATCAACCCTATTCCGGCTGAATGTCTGGATCTTTATGCCGTGTTTGCTTCTGACACCGCACCCGAGAAGCAGCGCATGAACTTCGCTGCGCTACAGTGATATTCCAGAGTCGGCCGCCGTGTTCTCAGCGGTCCCATTCTATCGATCGAGTCTACGTTTGGCATGACAACCTAGAGAAATCTTTGGTATATCCGGCCAGAACCATCAGGTCTCCCACCCGAGACCGTAGTTCTCGGGCTTAGCGAGTTTTTGAAAGTTCCGAGCGCATACTTAGGGTTCTAACTAGCCCAGTGACCACACTGGAGAATCGACAATACCGAGCATTAATTTGGATATCCTTCTCAGATGATCTGGGGAATACAGTGTTTAGTATTCGAAGCATGCGGTCTCTATTCAAATACGTGTCAGTATCATCCATCTTCTTCAACAAACAGCACATTTCAATAGATTGGCCCGTCTTTTATGACCGGGTTCTCAATATCAGGGCCTTCTATGGAGGGTCTTTGCGATGCGTGTGCTCGATTATGACGCTCTACTCAAAGTTAAGACCGGCTGAATTTGATAAAGATTGAAGTCGCCCAAGCCTGGAATGACTGCGGATCATTCGGCCCGCCTGTTATTACCAAAATAAATGGCATCCGCTAATCATCCATTGGGCACGTGCCTATTTATTTTAGCCCATCGCTCTTCATCCCCGCTCCGTCCGTGTACCGGAATTTTGACACGGAACCATTCTCGCCGACCTTCTCAATCACAAATATACACGCACGTCAGGCATAAGCACTCCTTACTCGACAGGGAAAACGGCTCCCCTGCCAGGTAGTATAAGTGCGCGATCGATATGCACGATAAGTAGTATCATTCGACACGATGCCCTCAGACGCTACGACTGCCACTGCTACTCCTCTCCGCATTACGATCGTTGGCGCCGGGCTGGGCGGTCTTGCTGCTGCCGTGGCCCTGCGGCAGATCGGGCACATTGTACAGGTGTTCGAGCGAACGGCGAACAAGACGGAGGTCGGCGCGGCGCTGTTGCTGCAGCCGAGCGCCATGCGCGTGCTGAAGCATCTCGGCGTTCAGGAGGAGAACTTGAAAGGCGTATATCTGCGTGGGGCGAGTGGCCAACCCTTGGGTTCGACCACGACTCTGACACCCTTCTGCGCGCAGATGATCAGCTTCGACGTTCTGACTGGAGAAGAGACCGAGATTAGATTCATGCCAGACGGTGAACGTGTAGAGAACCAGGCAAGTTTCCGTTGCCTCCGCTCCATGCTCTCTGGAATGACGATCCCGCAGTTGGTTTTGGCGTGCCACCGGACCGACATCTACGAAGAACTCAAACGCATCGCGCTCCATCCGGACCTAGGCCTTCCGCCCGTGGCTATGCGCTTCGGATGCAAAGTGTCGTCTTGCTCACCGGAAGCAGGAGATGTGGTGCTTGAAACCGGTGAGACCGTGCACGCGGACCTAGTTCTGGGGGCAGATGGAATCCAGGTGCGTCACCGGGATCGTTTTCCGTCTTCAATCGACTCGGAATGAAGGCTTGACTAATTGATCGCAGTCACTTATCCGGACGCATGTACTCGGTTACGTTCAAGAAGCGCCGCCCATCGGGATCACTTGCTGTCGCGCGGTGTTCAAAGCACCGCCAACGGATGTCAGGTTCTCAGGTCTAGAGTGGTTCACAGAGGGTACCGTTGGCATTCGATCTATCCCCTGGAAAGGCCTGCCTTTCCGCATGATTCTGTGCTATCCGTGCAGGAACGGGGAGCTCATTAACTCTGTTCACTTTTTCACGGAAACGGAAGAGGAGAAGAAGGACGGTGGGTGGCGGCCCCTCTCCCAAACTGACGAAGCGACTGATTCTGAAAATTGACTGCAGTCTCGCACCCAATCTCGACTCCGACGATCACCGCAGCCGAAGTGCGTGCCAAGTTCGCCGACTACGACCCCAAATACCACCGCCTGCTGGACCTTCCTGACCATACCGGTCAAATATACCGCTGGCGATTACGCACGGTCCCCGCGCTCCCGACGTGGTGCAAAGGTCGCACTGGGATTCTGGGCGACGCAGCCCACGCGACACTCCCGTTCTTAGCACAGGGCGCAGCAATGGCGATCGAGGACGCGGGTGTCCTCGCGGGCCTGCTCCCCCTCGGCACTACGCGCGAGGACATCCCTGCGCGGCTGGCGGTGTGGGAGGGTATCCGGAAGCCGCGGGCGGAGTACGTCAACAACATGTCGATCCAGCAGGTGGATGCTATCATGGCTGGAAAAGAAAACGAGGCGCATGGTGCGTGTCCCTCATTCTTTTTACACGAACTGCGTAGTTGAATGCCATTGTGAAAGTCCGAGAAGATACGCGCACCAAGTTGGCCGACTACAATGCGATTGCAGTTGGCCGACAGGCTTATCAGGACACGTTTGCTGGCGGACGGAAGGTCTGAATTTAGAGGCAGAGACATCAAGGGAGCCTCCAATCCAATCCCATTTTCACTACACGCTTTGTGATCTGATTCGTCTTGAGGAGAGACGGCCGAGTGCTACGGAATTACTTAGACATGTCATATATAGCCCTGCGTTGTGACGGTCGCATCCTTTGGCGTTGGCCTTTATGACACAGGCTTTCAAATCTATCGGTTATTACAGTGATCTACGGGCCTAATGGGACACAACAGTCTGATGGGACAGACCAACTTATTGAGATCTACTATAGGTGACTGGGGTCTTGCCCACCTAAGGGATTCTCGATGTATACAAGGAGATTTTATGGTCTCCACACCTTGTCCGGTGATCAAAATATGACCCAGGGTCTTGCGAGCAAAGTACAACTTCCCGCTTGTTGATCGGTGCAGTATGGAGGCCTGGAGCTATATGCTGATACGCGCGCGGCTGATATCACTGGCATCAAACGGCAAATGCCAGATGATCAAACATCATTTTTTGGAGACCCCGAACTCCATCTAAGTAGTATAGCAAGACTGTTATTAACAGAGAAATTGTTGAGCACTGGGGAGAGCGTCTAGCAGCTCACCTGTGAGAGAGAGAGCTTAGTGTGGGCACTATGCGGGAGTAGTCAAGAGACTTGTATTAAAGGGTAATAGAGCCCTCCTTATATATGATACAGGGGGCCATTTGTGTCTGTTTGGGACAAGTCAATATGACTCTAGATGACACGTAATGGAGTCATAGATGTGTATCACAACATCCATCTTGACAGATGATTATTTGATCACCACTCCCCCACGCTGAAAACCACCGGATAGTGTTTGAAAGCGAAATCTTCATCGGCCATTCCTTCAGGACAAGTTAAACTCAAGTCCTAGTTGAGACCTGAACTTCTCGAACTTGACACGTCCTAGGTTCTTGGTGAACATATCTGCAGGATTCTCACTGCCCGGAATAAAGAACAGTTCAACCTCTTCTTCCTCGACTTGCTCACAAATGTAGTGATAGCAGATGTCTATGTGTTTCATCCTGCGGTCTCGGTAGGCATTGCTGCCACTGAAGAGTGCACCCAGATTGTCACAACAAATGGGTACTGGGATGGTGAGCTTGAACTGGAGTTCCAAAAGGACGCTCTTCGGCCACATCACCTGGCGACTACAATCTGAAATTGCCATGTACTCTGCTTCGGTCGAAGACTGCATGACAGTGCGCTGAAGTCTAGACTGCCAGCAAATAATCCCGTCTGCCAATTTCGTGAAGAAACCAGTGGTAGACCTCCTCTTAATCAGATCAGCAGCCCAGTCTGAATTGCTAAATGCAATTAGCCCTCTATCTGTCGCACCATTGAAAATGAGCAAATAATTCCTAGTACCAGCCAAATAGCGGCGGATATACAGCACTTTATGGAGGTGGTCTTGAGACGGATTGGCGGCAAATTGTGACAATTTGGTCACAGCAAATGCAATGTCAGGATGTGTGCCTAGCATGATGAAAAGAAGAGATCCAATGACTGATTGGAATTTCTTCCTGAGCTCTGGATCGACTTCATCCTCATTTGGCATTGGAACATATCCAGCCAGTAGAGGGGTTGCTGCAAACTTGGCGTTCTGCATTCCAAAGCGCTCTAGCACCTTGTCGAGACAGGGAATCTGATCAATCTTGATCAAAGATCCTACTCTACTGAGGTGTACGCGCAAGAACTCTGGAGTATCTTCAGAATTGCGGCATTCCCATTGCTTGTTGAACTCAGCCTTGAGAAAGGCGAGGAGCTTCTTGTTCTTGGAGAAGAACAGTGCTTCATCCACATAGACTATTATGACGGCTATGCTGCCATCAGAGTCCTTGTAGAAGAACACACCGGCATCCGATGTTAGTTGGATCCAGCCCATGGCTTTCGTGGACTTGGTCAGCGCTTTCCACCATGCTAAAGCAGCTTGTTTGAGTCCGTAGATTGCCTTGTGCAAGCGCATGACTTTGCGCTCTTGGCCTCTCGCCACAAAGCCTTCGGGTTGTTCCATGTAGACCTCTTCGTCAAGCTCTCCATAGAGAAAAGCCTTACTGACGTTGAGTCCAGACCAATGCCAATCATTGAGCGCTGCAAGCGCCATGACCAACTGGAACGTATCATACCTGACAACAGGTGAGAATATTTCATCATAGTCAACACCTTCGACTTGACTGAAACCCTTGGCAACTAGGCAGGCACGTTTTCAGCCATCAGATTTTTGGTCAAAGACCCAGCGACATCTGATAACCTTCCGTCCTTTTGGACGGTCCACAAGGGAATAGACCTTGCGCTGACGAAGTGCCTCTAACTCGTCGCGGCAAGCATCAATCCAACCTTTCTGTTGTTCAGAAGGCAACCGCTTGATATCGCGGAACGTCCAATCGCGAATTTTGGACATATCAGGTAGGTTCTCATTTGGAACCGCTTTTGACAGCAGCGCCGTGATGAGCTCTACTCCCCCTTCCCGGCATAGCTTCTCGATGCGTGCATCCTTGTCTAGATCATCAGAAGCACCCACGTTTGAGGAATCTGGTTGCGAGCTAGGGCCGGGAACCCCTGCATCAGCACCGGTTGATGGTTGAGATTGGGAGCTACCCTTATCTTCACCAACATACCGCATCCATCCTCTGCTGTTCTGGATGTCACGGACTATATCCGTAGGGGTACACTTTTCCCCATAGACGTTTCCTGGACGTGTAGGCACATTCCGCTGGCGTGAAGACCTTCGAGGCTCGGGAGCTGGTGAAGCTTCCCGACTTGGTCGTGGAATTCTACTTCTACGAGTCCTCTGAGGTTCATCCCGACGCTCTGGCGGTGGGTCCTGACAATTATGACCATTGTCACCATCATCATTTCCTCGTACGGGAGGTGGTGGAGCCAAATCAGAAGGCATAGGAAATGGAAAAGGATCATCTCCATGTAGCCAATCTTCTCCGTCTACCTGTGGTGGATCTTGTGGATTCACTGGGTCATCACGTTCTGGAAATTCTTCTCCAACAGGAACATGGGGTGTTCGATTGCTGTCAGGACAGCGGGGGAACAACTCCTCATCAAACAGTGCCTTGGTGGCGACAAACGTGGAATTGTTAGTGCACATGAATAAAAATCCTTTCACACCATCAGGAATGCCCAAGTAGGTCATCAGCTCCGATTTGGGCGATAACTTATTGGCACGCTTCTCATCAGGGATAAAGACATATGCAGCACAACCAAAGACTCGGAGTTTGGAAACATCCGGTTTTTCCTTGTGAAGGGCTTCAAATGGAGTTTTCCATTTTAGACGCCTGATAGGTGTCATATTGTAGATCCGTGTCACATGTTTTATCGCGAATTCCCAATATGAATTAGGAAGACAGGCAGTGAAGCGCATGGCTTCTGCCTTATCCATGATCGTACGATTGAAGCGCTCGGCATGCCCATTCTGCTGGTGAGCATATGGAGTACCCTTCTCCACTAGAATTCCTTTTTCTGCAAGAAATTCTTCCATTCCCATCCCCATGAATTCTCCCCCATTGTCAATATGCCACTTTTTGATGGTGACATTGAACTGGTTTTTGACCATTGCAATGAAATTGCGCATAGCCTGCTTGGCGTCGGATTTCTGCACAAGGCATACTGTCCAGCCATAGGAGAGTGCTTCGTCGAAGAAGCTCATGAAGTAACGGTACTTGTGATAAGAAACCGTGAGAAATTGTTTGAGATCCGAGTAGATCAAATCAAATGGATTCTCCGCTTGTTTTTTGGAAGGTGGGAAGGCACATTGGTGCATTTTCCCTTGTGCGTATCCTTTACACGGTCAGGTTTCCTTGGGAAATACTAGGTCTTCTGGAAAGCCCTTGGTATTCTTTTTTGTCTGACGTAAAACATCTTTCGACGGATGTGCAAATCGCCGGTGCATGATCTCATAATCCACCTTGTAAACAGTGGACATGGATCGCACTGTCTCAGCCGTGCTAGGCTTTGACATCAGGAAGTACAAGGCAATGTCCTTCCCTAGAGTTCTAAACTCCATGATCGAGAGTGGGGACTTCCCTCGATGTAAGCTGATCCGCGATTCGTCTCCACGAACGCGAGATCCTCCTTTGAGTAAGGAGCCCAAAGACATGAGACAACCATGTAATCCTGGCACTAGGTACACTGGATATATCTGAGAAGTCACCATTGTCTTTTCTCCATGCCTTGTGACATAATGATCGATGAAGGCTGTTCCTTGACCAATAAGGGCAACACGTGTGTTCTTATCAGCAGTCTGAGCAACAATAGGATCTGAGAGTTTCTCATATCCGACCAGATCACTAATCTCCGATATCACATGGAGAGATGCACCAGAATCAAGAAGCCATAGAGGCCCTAATTCATGATGATGATGATGTTTCCCCTTACACTTAGAGCAGGCAGCAAAATCGGAGTGCACACAGAATAAATTTGTACAAAAATCATGTGATTGAATCATCAGTGAATTAAGTACAGAACCTGGGGCGGCGGTGATTACGTGCTCTGGCTGTGAGCAACAATCAGAATTGTGCATATGCCCAAGAAGGCAGGGTACTTGCCTTTCGGCGGAAGGAGCGTCCATCTCCTCCAGAAGGGTGTTGAAGTTGACGACCTCATCCCAGTTGACTGGTTCAGCCTGGGCGAACTCGCTGTCTCCAAACAGAAGATCAAGATCGTTCTGTTGGCCGGTGGCCATCTCGACATCAGGGATTTCCTCAATGCGACTGCGCTTGGTCAGAGGACCATCATCCAGAGTCTGATTTGAGCCCGAAGCAACCGGAGATGGAGAACGCATGATTGCGTCCTTGTGGAGCATTCCTTTCTCATTGATGATCTTGTCAAGAGTCCAGAAGCATTCTGCGGTCACCGTCACATCCATCTTCTGGCAAGCTCAAAGACCTTGCGAGTAGGCTTCTGGAACTCGGTGTCAATAATCCCATCGTTGTTAACGGGAGACTTCTCTTGAATCGCGCGGATTTTGGGTCCATCGCGAGAGATGTGCATGACATGCGAGATCGTCGGCGCAGGATGAGACGGAGTGAGGGAAGTGATCGAACCGATGGTGATCGCACCAGCTATCTTGGAGACACCATGGACATGACTGTGATCGGCCTTGCCCTTGCCCTTGTCCTGGTTCTTCCCACTGCGTTTGCCTCGACGGTTCTTCTTCTTCCCATCTGCCTTATCACCCTTATCGGGTGCA